TTAGCTCACAATTTATTCTGTTTCTGTGAGTTGCACCTATTCAGACAAGAACCATTAAACAACAGAGGTGTCCTCAAGAAGCAAGCTGAAATGTTTAGGAAGTTCAGGTATCATGTTGTTTTCTGAAGTATTTAATAGAGATGTGTGGGAATTTAAGGGCTGAGGGCTCTTATTCTCAAAAGGTGTGATCTTGAGTAAGTGCAGTGTGGCAGCAGCCATTGCTAGAGGGTTTGCCCACTGCCCTGCTGTATCTTTCTGGGCTCACATCTGAGTTTATGATTGCTATTATGTAGCACATATTACTACATACTAGTGCAGTGATACTGTGGCAGAGACCAGATTTTAAATGTTTCCTGCTAACCTAGTGTTTCCTGAGAACCAGGACCACCTGCTCTGCAGACTACAAGGCTGCAGGCATGGCCCTAGGAATGATAGGGACATCCCCTCCAGAGTATGAGGGACCCTGCATGCCTGAGCAAGCCTGGCATACTAGTGTACCGACAGGCATGTTTGCAGGCTACACACAGACCTATGAGACAGAGACGGAGGTGGAGTAGGTAAAGCACGCTGTAATTTTAGTTGTTCTGTGAGCTGACCAGGGCTTTTAGAGATAGAAGGCCTCTGCTCCAAACAATCTCTGTTCTAGGTGGACATTGAAAACCAAAGGAAACTTTGACTATGTTTTAGAGATGGAAGGGTGCAGCACAATAAGCTTGTTTCTCTTTATATCACTGAGAACAGTCTAATGGGTCAACACCTAGCTTTTTAGGAAAAATTTACTTGAAGTGACTTGCTGAAGGTTACATAGGGCATCTTCAGTTGGTGTGGATCACCCAGTGTCTCAGCCCCGTGATTTTCCTTCTGCACAAAGGGTTGGCAACAGCCAGTGATCTCAGTGTAGTCAGCATTTTCTCCATAGTCCTGAAGCCCAAGCTATGCTTTGGTAGTATTTGTCTGTCCTATAAATGCTTCTTGCTACACTTCATCCATGGCTGAATTTCAGGGGCAGAGTAAGTTGTTTCTATATATAGTTGATGAAGCACGTTGAGATCTTTTGACGATGGCAGTTGTTTGTATGAAGTCAGCAATGCATTTTTTATCTCTTTCTCCATTTGTGTTTCCAAACCTGTCACTTGAAGGAGCATACTTTTAAAATACATTTATATAGTACATACTTACTGTTTGTGTAGTTAATATTGGATTTTTTCAGAGTCAAAGCCTGTGTCTCTTGGTGCAAGATGTGGGAGAGCTAATACACTCTGTGCTCACAGTGCTGCTTTGCCTTAACTCAGACAGAATCAGAATTTTGGTTCCTGTATGTATGTTTCTTTGCTCTCTTCCCTCCCTTCCTTCTGTATGCGTTCATTCCAGGAACAGGAAGTGAATTTAAATTAAATATGTAAAGACACGTGAATGAACAGTAACTTTTTTTTTTTTTTTTTTTTTTTTTCTGAAATGAAAGAGGCTTGTGTTTATTGCAATGGAGAAAAAAAGGCTTGTTTCTCCCAAACTCCCATAAATAAACACATCTTATAACACTTGTCCTTTTCTGTTTAGATTTATTTGGGAAATTCATACATCATTTTTAACAGAATCCAACATTTTGGCCCAATCTTAATGGTCTGCAGTACATTTCTGGTTAAGCTTTAAAGTAATGGATACCTGCTGCAAGCAAAGTGACATTCTGAGAGAGTTATGGCATGCTTTGAAAATAAAAGAGCTTTTTGATCCCTCTTAAGCTTCTGTTAGCAGTTTAAGTAAGCGAACAGTCACTTTGAATTTTTTGGTTTCATTGACTTCTTCCCTGAAAAATCATTCTCCTGTTCTTTTTCACAGATGAACAAGCTGTGCATATGGAAAGGTGATTGCTTAAAGTCTGCTGATTTATGGAGCTCTCATAAGGTCCTTTATTTTCCTGTGGCCTTTCTGAGACAATTTTGGCAGATGGTGGTCTGTTGTGTTCCTATACAGAAATGTTAAAAGTGAAGACTAATGGTGATCACTTCCACATCAGCTGATTATTTCACAGATGATTATTTAAGTAGAGAAATCTGGCTTATTTCTTATTCTAAATCTCCAAGTTCAAATAGAAGAATAATCTGGAGAAACATCACTTGAAATTTTCAGCATTTTTGAAGTTCTATTAAAAAGTTGGATTTTCTGAGAGTTCAAGAGGGAAGAATAAGAAATAGGTCAAAGGAATCAGAAGTCTGATGAACAGTGAAGATATGGAGGGGTGATTTCTTGAAAGAATGATATGACAGGTTTTTGGGGAGCAAATGGATGTTAAAAATAAACCATGAGATAATTTCTGTTCAATTAAAAAAGGTGATAAAGGCTGACACAGAAGTGAGAACAGTGCTAGCTAAAGGTAGTTAGAAAAGCCCTGTGTTTCTCAAGGAGCTCAAAGCAATATGTGCCAGGAGGCTTTTGCTTAGATTATATTAGTTTCAAAGATCCTTGGTAAGCTGGAACTGTGATAAGAAATACCGAATGAGTTCACTCACAGACCTGCTGCTCCTATTTGGAAAGTTCTGGCTTTCTTGGTGCTCCTCTTATGTGGAAAGTGCAAATCATATCTTGTGGTCATGGTATTGTTTGGGGGTTAAGCATTCTCGTGGGTAAGCCTTTACTGACATTTATGTTAGCATGAACTACAATTGCATACCTCTTGTCAAATAAAAGATAAAAAGTTGACTATTCTGCACTATTTCTTTTGATCTTCCAGAACCACATTATTTCTTTTAATATGTTTGGAAAACGTGAATATTCTTTTTGTCTTAAAATATTGTAAATATTCAGTGTTATTTCTTGCTCAAATACACCTGCGAGATCAGCTTAAAGTTCTATATGTATGTGGGTCACCTTGTTTCTTCCTCTTTCTCTTCTTAGGACTTCTGCTCAGCTTGTATATTTCAGTTTTCATTTTATTTCCTCTCTTCTTAAGGACACACAGTTTCTAGCTGTGCTACTCTGCCAGCTTTAGTGGGGTTAGTCTTAACCTACCTCTGATGTGGGAATAAGCTGATTGAGCACACTGCTGCCCCTCCATGTCTGCTTGATTCATACTGCTCTGCTGGGCTCAGCTTTCCTTTTTTCTAGGTGATCTGGAAGAGTCAGCTCTCTTTGCACTTCAGATTTGTCGTCACAATTCCATTTTGGCTCTCTTTCCACTATAGCCCTCCATTCATATGCTTCTCATTACCATCTGCACAGTTCGTTTATAAAATTAAATTAAAGTAGTAAACAAAATACCAGATACTCCTCCTAATGCTTCATCTATAAATATCTTCCCTGCCTACTCATGCTGTCTGATTAAGGGTCAGTAAGCAGTTATTTAGAGAACCTAAAACAGGTCAGATACCATCAAAATAGACAGTTCTTTTAAAATCAGGATGTTACATTTAGCTTCCTGTTTCACAGTTAAAAAGCTCTTCTCTCTCAAAATGCACATTGGTAAGGTTGAAGCCCATTGTTTTGACATTTTCAATATGAAAAAATGTTAACTTCTTTCATTCTGAAATATTTTTTCATCTAAATTGAACTAACATAACATAAAAAGTGGATTTTGAAATATTTGCTCCTCACATAAAAAAATGAGTTTATTCCTGTTTGGAATCAACTTGAGTGGTTTTTTTTTTTTTCTGTTTTTTGTTCTCTTAGAATGTCATAGAGATTCTGTGGTTCTGTGTGTTAGTTCCTAATTACATGAAACATGAAAAAATGGACATAATGTTTCAGCAGTGACCAATTTTGAGCAAATTCAGTTATAATTTAAGAAAAAAAAATACATCCTTCTTTCAAAATCTTAGAAAATGAGGGTAGATTTTCCTTTGAATTCTAGAAATCTAGACATGGATCTGATTCCAGCATTAATCTGCAGTGTCATCAGATATTGTCATCACAATGCCTCAGTTTTTATTTCATGACCCAGGCAGTCTGACCAATGTTATATGATGAGGGCCAGGAAGTGAATAAAACACACAAATTACATCAGCATAGGCATAATTATGTGCCTATAATCACTATTTTAGACATGGGCTGAGAGCTTCCTAAGAAAGTGTTCATCTGTGCTCAGCATTCATCACCATTTGTATCATTTTAAATGGAAATACTATAGCAACCCTGAGAATATTTGTATTGAGCAGGTGAAAAGCATGTGTTTCTGATTTTGCTTCTTAGACCTGGGTTTTCATTTTTAGACTATTTATCTTGTGGTAGGTCGATCAAATTTAGGAAGTTAAGCTTGATTTGACTGCATGAAACATTTGTGCTAGAAACCTCTTCTGAATTCAAATTTTCCATCCTCGTGTTACATTTATGATTTTTTTTTTTTTGAACTGATGGGTAGATATGAACTGTATGTGTGGTCATCTATATGTCATGGACTTGCAGGATAGAAGGCAACCAGGCAGAAAGCAGAGCTTTAATTAGTAGAATTGAGTGTAGGACATAGGCTCTCTAGCTGTTACTTATCCTGATTATTCATTCACATTGGTTTAGGCACCTGTAGTTGCCTTTACTGAATACAGTTCTCTCTCGTGTCTGGCTTAGCCATGGCTTCTGAAAGCTCAGCTTTGGTGAGCATTTTTTCTTTGTAAGGTTGAAATTGTATCCGGTATGGACACCCGTAGGGAGGATGACCTTGGCCGATGGGTGCAGGCATTACTGACAGCCTAGCTGAACACAATAAACTTGCCAGTTCCTGGGGAAACATTGTCGCTAGGACAACTGACATAAAATGACACAGGAGATAGGGAATATGGTTGCCAATATGCCTGATCCCAGTGCTATCTTGTCAGATTTCACCTTGTGCAAAGCCCAGGTGTGTGGTTGCTGTCACACATTTTAAAGTCAGTGGTTCTGCAGACCAGACCTTGCTGTGCCCTTCTAGGTGTCTGCTTTTGAGGTGCACCAGGCATGTCCTGGCCAAAAAAAGAAAAAAAAGAAGCCACGTTGCTTTTCTCAGTTGTGATGCGTACTTTCTCCTTGAACTCCAGACCTGCTCTCCAGTGCCATTGTCTCATCTCCCGGGTGTCCTTTTCTGCGTTGGCTCTGGTGCCCTTAATCTGAAGAGGACAGTGACAAGTGACTGAAGGGTCCCCACGGACGGATGACAAACCACGTTGTGCTACATTAACAAACCATACACGAGCCTGGAGAAATACAAGTAAGTAGATTTTAAAAAACTCTCCTTAGGCAGGCGGGCGGGCGGTATCTTTTTGGTCAGAGCGGTTTCGCTGGCGAGCTCCCCGGCCCGCCCTCCCCTCTCGCTGCCCCCTCGGTGCCTGCGGGAGGGAGGAGGGGGGGGGGGACAGCCGGCGGGGCCATGTGACAGCCCCGCGGCGATAATAACCCGCGGCCATGGGCAGCGCCGGGCTTCTCCGGGGGGTCAGCCGCAGGGAGCTGCAGCACAGAGAGCGAGGGAGGGAAGGGAAGGAGGAGAGGGAGAAAGAGGGAACGGGAGGAAGGAAGGAAGGGCACCACCGGTCAGTGCCTACCTGGCAGTTTCAGCCTCTGCTCTCGGCAAGACTCATCGCTATTCACACCCTGTCTCCTTGGAAAAGAAAAAAAAGAAAAAAAAAATCAACACTGCTGCCTACAACCCATCAGCGACTAAACTAAACTTTAATATATCTGTATTTAACTGTAGTAGAAGCCACAGCAGTTGGAGCTGATCCCTGGGTAGAATGAACAGCATGAACCAGATAGAAACAAACATGCAGTATACCTACAACTATGAAGAAGATGAGTACATGACCCAAGAAGAAGAATGGGACAGGGACCTGCTCCTGGACCCAGCATGGGAGAAACAGCAAAGGAAGGTCTGGAAATAAAGTCGTGTGTGTCTGTATATGTGCATCTCTGTGGAGTTATGGCCTCTCATGTAGCCATGCTACATTTGGCATTGCAGGGTTGTGCAGTAAGGGCTTCTTATTTTAGAAGAGAGTGTGTATTTTCCATTGTATAAAGCATATATGTTATATATTATATCATATTTTGAGGAAAAAGCACACCATTTTTGGATTCTGAATTGAAACGTGTAAGATGACACTGATTAACAGGAGTCAGATAGTGTCTTTTTAACACTGTACTAGCAATATTTTGTCAGTACCTCTACATTTACATATTAGTTGTTGATAGAGATTCCAGTGATTTTTAACTGTACTTCCTGGGTCTTCCTTTCAGAAAGCAGTTTCTGAATTGATGTATGTGCCTGATTGCTTCTCAAAAAGAGTAAATTGCAATTGTAGCCAGCGTGCTTCATGAAATTGTTCAAATTTGTGCAAATAGAAGTTTTCTTGTAGTATTTCTGAGAGAGACTGAGAGATCACTTTCAAAACTGTGATCTGGCTGCTCAGCTCCTATTAGAACTTACTCTTGAATGCCAACTGACTTATCTTACAAAGAAGATATTGCCTAGAAATTTATTCAGGATAGGTATGGATAAGTGTATTTAATGAGCTAGGTTAATCACATGCCATTCACTTTCTGGGTAAAAAACAGATCTGTAAACTCCTTGGAATACATTATTGTAGAAGAAAGACTTCTCATCTTTTAGGTATAGGAAAACTATTATGTCACCAAGCACTACCTATGCCCTATTTCTGAGCATAGGCACAGATTATAACTCTATCAATATTCTTGTCAATGGTTTGATACTCCAGTAATTTCAGAAAGATCTAATTTCAGAAGACTGAGTTTTAAACAGCACGTGGAAGAGAGATGTGAAATACAATAAAGGATTTAGTACTTTCTAATGTGAAAGGTGATGTTGAAGTCACAGTTGACAGATCTGGGATTAAAAGGTTATCCGCTGGTTGCAAGAAAGAAAAAAAGGGAGGGAGGGAGAGAGCGAAACAGAGCTCTGAACTAAGGTGGTATGTGTTTTTGCTATAGGTGAGCAGCTCACTCCAGAAATTTAAGTAGAAGTTAAAAAGTTCTGTGGAATTTGGTTACAGTAATATTTAGCCCATGTCAAATCCAGAAATCAAGAAAATACAGTTGCAAAAATTATATGTGAAGACAATATGTCCCACTGTTACAGTCATGGATTCTATATGACCATAGAAGTAAGAGCTGTTAGAATTGTTGGTTGCCAATGTGTTTGCTTTTCCATTAAAATTGGCAGAGCCAATATTTTCCTCTCAGCTTTCACTTGCAGCTTTCCTCCTGCTTTGAGTTTGTGCATTTCATTTTCCTGTATTCACACCTATTTAGATTCTGGTGTACAAGTATAGTGTGAAAAGTTCAGGGCTAGGTTGAAGTTCATTTTTCTTGATCTACCAGCTGTTGCAACTCCTCACCAATTATTATACATCAACAGTGATGTCCATTTTACTTTTACACTCTTCAGATGGTGAATTTGTATTTATTTTTATATTTTATAACTGAGGATGAAAGTGATGTCAGTTTTAATCTTTTGAAATTGCTCAGCAGTAACGCATTGTGATTATATGTAATGAGGATTCAATTGTCCAGCGTTTCAGAGAATGCTGCATTTTCAAAATAAATAATGGACAGGTTACAGGGTAGTCAGTATTCTAATGTAATTTTCCTAGAATGCAGATAAATAATAAGAGAATTTGAATTCTGTAGGCTTTCTTTTGTTTGCAGTAAATCTCTTGACTTTTACAGAAGAGCAGGGAGTAGTTGATATAAGACCCTACTGCAAAGTCTTTGTCTCCATTTCTCCAAACGCAGTGCTTCAGCAGAAAGTCTCCTTTCCCCATTGACAAATGAAAGCTTTCCTTCATAGAATAGAGAGAGAGATAGTGCCTTTGCTGCTTTATGTTGCTTGTCCCCAGTGCTTGTTTTTAATAATTGTTGCCACGTATAAGTAAAATTTAGGAGGGGGATCCTCATTCCTTGCCTTTGAAAGGAGTCTGAATTTACTATGATGTGAAAAATAAGTAGTCTCATGTAAAGGTCCTGATAAACTTTTTAAGATTTCAAGGCTTCTTTTTCTAAAGACAGTTGCAGAAATTATGTTCTTTATTATCTTATTTATTGGGAAAAGATTGCAGATACATGGGCACTGATCTCTGTTCAAACTGGTAATATAATATAGAAAAGTGATCTCAGTGGAGCCCTGGCAGTTGGCAGCGTATATTTTCTATTAGACAGTCTTGGAACACACCAAAAATAAATGCCATTGTTTCTATTGTGGGCTGCCCTCTCCAGACTTGCCATTTCAGTGATATGCCTGGTATGAGATCTGTCAACAGATGCTGGTAACACATGATGACGTCCATAGGATTACAATGGATGTGACACCTAATTATAACCATGGTTCATAGAGTATTATGGTCTGCTGTAATCCAGTCTCCTTGGTGGCTGCAGGTGTCAGAATAAATATGAAGTATACTTATATGAAAGAAGGCTCACTAGTAGCTTAGCTTTGTCTCTCTGAATGTTAACACCAAATAAAATACTTTGGTTAGGGTAATAATTAGCCTGTGTCAAATCAAGAAATGAAGATAATACAGCAATTGACCATTTGCTGCATTAGACGCTATTACTAAAAAATTAAGATCATATGGTTGGAAACTTTAGATAGCAAATTTTAATGGAAGACTAAACAAAAAAAGTAGTTTGTCTTCATTGTGTTTTGGATGGATGTGCTACCTTCAGTAGGAACTAATTAGAGAACTACAGCCTTTTGAGCATGTGGATGGAAACCATGAGACTGGAAACTTCTGAAGCCTACTGCTTGACCCAGTACACTTCCACTGGCCATGTGTGCATAAACAGCAGTTGAAAGATCTTTGCTAGTGGCCCCTTGTTTCTTCAGTACTACACAGAAATCAGAAAGTTAAGTCTGACTGGCCAGAGGTGGTGGGATGGTCTTCTTGACTCTGTAACCTTAGACTAAGTCAGTTAACCTCCTTATGCATTTTTAACCAGTTTTTCTACTGGTTAAAAAAAGAGGACAAGAGTAGTGATTTCTAAACAACTGATAGAAGTAGTTGGCTTTATGGTATGTCAGACTGGTCTTTCAGTCCTTACTGTGCTGGACTGGAATTAAAAATACTGTTATCTCCTAGTGGAAGACTTAAAATGTTCTTTCTTCTCTCCATGTTATATTTCTCTCTTACTTTGCAAAAAAAAAAAAAAAAGTGACAAATTCTGCAACCCTTTTAATTGTCACTAACCTGTATTTCAGTATAACTTTAACATAGGGAAATACAATATCCCTTAGCTTTGGAAACCTAGAACAACTGTACTTAAAATGCAAATATACTGTATTGTCTGCAGCATGTCTGAGCTGCCAACTAGTGAGTGGTTGTTAAACAGTACTTTTTCTTTCATTTACATTTTCAGTGTGACCTATAAGGATTTACCTGCTTTACCTCCTTTGGCTGGCAATACAACTCCTGTTCTCCTTGAAAAAAACCACCAACTCCCCCCCAAAAAAAAACACACCAAAAAAACCCCACCTATATATATATATATATCTGTATCCATTTAGAAGCCACAACTATGGCAAATTCTTTGGAAGAAGAGACCCAGGACTATGTATTATGGACAAAACGCTTCTTTGCCTTGTGTTGGCACAACTTCATTAAGTTCAGCTGATTAGAGAGGTTCACTGTAGCCTCAAAGAGAAATTGACCTTGTGTTCAGTCTGACTTCAGTGTCTATAAATAGAGTTACAGTCAGTGTCCCGGATTCACTCTGAAGTCTGTGTGGTCTTCTATGGATGGAATCTAAATACGTTTCTTATCAGAAACCTCTTCCTGAAGGAAAGTCTACTGGTGAATGAGAAGACAGATAACTAGTAGAGGCAAATGTCTTCATTCTTCAAACAGGAATAGGAGAGAAATGATCAAGCTTGAATGAATGAAAAAGAAATGTGAGGCATAAAAACGTTGGCAGGAGAGGCTGGATGCCACTAGGAAAGTTCAGTACTCTAGAACCACTCCTCATGGATTTACAGGCTCTGGGCTGAAATAATTGCCATGGAGAATATGGCAATATCTACAGTGTGTAGAGGGTAATCCAGCCTGGATTTTTTTTTTTTTAGATTCTATGGAAATAATCAGTGGTGGTTTTTTTTTTTTTTTTTTTTTTTTTTTTTTTTTTTTTTTTCCCCAGACTGTACTAAATTCTTTCCTCAAATAATTAGCCTTGGGATTAAAGTTTCATAGCACATAGAGACAT